CATTTCCATATCTATAGTTACCGGTACCAGTGGTTGTTATGGCGCAAACCTTCAACTTAAATAATAACTAAGTGACAGTTTTGAATTTCTCGTTCGCTTTTTTGAATTTATATAACATAGAAAGCCAGAATGTTGTGGGAAAGTTCTGATAATGATAATATCGGTACTCCAACAGAACTCCAGTACTCCTAATATTGGTACTCCAACAGAACTTACAGAAGCTGCAAAAAGAGCAGAAGCCAGTTTACTTCCAGAAAAAAGTAAGGGGCGATATGAAACAGCATTGAAAGTATACGAAAAATGATGTGCCGAAAGAAATGCTAAGAATATTGCTTCGGAGACAGTCTTGATGGCATATTTTAGCGACATGGCAAGGCAGAAAAAACCATCTACTCTTTGGGCTACCTAGAGCATGATACGGATAATGCTAGAATTAAGGGAAAATACTGACATATCAAAATATCACAAACTCGTCGCTTTTTTAAAACGCCAGAATGTAGGTTTTTAAGCTAAAGAAGTCTTGCATTTTTTACCTTCAGCAAATAAAAAGAATATTTTGCTTAATTAAATGAGGCGAGAAATAAAAAAAACCTAGTGAGGGAAATGAGTGAGAAATTTAGCGAGGGAAATGGAAGAGGGAAGAAATGTAGATAATTTGACACTTTCAAATGTTTTAAAAGTCAGTAATGTCAGTATTACATATGTGGTTGTAAATAAAATTACTTTTGATATTAACAAAATCATAGGTTGTACACCTAAGGTGTGTCAATTTTTGACTTATGTTTGATTGTTACCTGTTCGGTTTTAATTTAAAAATAAATGCAATATTTCTCAAATTACTCAAAATCGGCTGGTCCAAAATTGTTCAAATTTGGCATGTGTATTTACCATACATAAACCTTTAAAAAATCCATTTACGACTTCGCTGTAAAATCAATAGGGGGCCAATATCTGGACAGAAAAAAAATTTGCATGGGATTTCCTATGTTTCCAACGACGATGCACCACCCAGTATATTTGCTTTAAAGTTGGTTTACATTGGTATTAATAGTAGTAGAGGACGGTGGTAGAGTGCGTACTATCTTACTACGAGAATCATGTAAACAGTTTGTGCTAGTGACATTATAGTACTATAGATAGTCTAAGGGCGAGTAGAGTGGATAGCACGTGTGGAATAGTACACTCTACTAGCCTACCCCCACTATCACCATCTTACTCTACTCTACCGGCTTGCTAGTTTACTATACCAGTGTAAACAGGCACTAGACTAGCTTAAGTAGAGGTGAGTATTTGGATGCTTCTTGTGCTTGCCGATCTTTTTTTACTTTTTAATTAAAACTTAAATTTTGCTTACGTATGAAAGAAAATGTGGACGGAATCTGAAACTACGAAATTAGTGGCAGTATACAAGGATTACGAGTGTATATGGAATATCAGCAGCCCTAATTATAGAAATAGATCAATGAAATCAGCCGCCTACGAAGAAATTGTAAAATATATATCAAAGGAAAAGTTTGGTATAGCCGAATTAAAACAAAAAATTAAAAATTTGAGGTGCACTTATAATCAAGAAGTTAACAAAATAAAAAAGTCAAAAAAATCAGGTTCTGGTTTAAATGATGTCTATGTTCCAAATATTAAGTGGTTTGCTTTAATGGATTCTTTCATAAAAAAATGTAAAAGGATCTGGATCGGCCATTTTTGCCTAACCTGCTTGTTCATTGTCACACACTTTAAACTGATTTTTTCAAACATCTGAACATCTTTTCAAATTACTGGAAACGTGTATACAGTTACTCTACCAAAGTGGGCAAAGTAGAGTGTTTTAGAAAATAAGTATGCTAGTGAACTCGACTACTATTAATACCAATGTAAACCAGCCTTTAGAAGTGATTTTGAGCCATATTATCGATAGAAAAAAATAGCAAACATTAGTTTAACTGAGCGTCTAATCAAGCAAAGGAACATTAATACAAAAGGACTTTGATTCTCACAGTTTAAAAATTCGAATGAGTCATAGAAAGCGCACTAAACCTAGGGTTTATATACGTCCGTATTTTTTAAATAATGGTTCGGTCGGAATTTTATGGCCGGAATTGAAAAACTGTCCGGCAAATTTGACCGTATAATCAACTTAACTTTGTTGAATATTTTAATCCTTACGATGTCATATCTCTGTTAAACAGACATTGGTTGAAAGTACACGCATATATATCGGGTTATTTTTTTCGGTAAACTCGTTGATGTAAATTGTGATTCCATTTGTCTTTATTTATAACGATTACGTCGGGGCTTTATGAATATTAGTCTGTCCAATAATCAATGACAGTGACAGTTGTGCTTGCCATTTTAATTTCCAATTAAATTTTATTATTTGTCATTTTGTGCATGTCATTTGTCGTAATCTTCCCCGACTTTGGGCCATGTTAAAGCTTCATTCATAACCTCGAAATCAGTGGAATAAATTAGTAGTTTCAATTAGCCGTAGAAGTTTGTTCACCGAATTTTAATGTAAGCACTCAGAACGTCATAATTAGTGGAGTACTTTTCAATTATTGGAAAAAGTTAACAAACTTTTCCACTAATTATACTTCAAAATTTGCGAGGAATGTTATTTTGGCCTTTCATTATCACCAGTCAAGAAAAATTCGAGGAAAAATTTTGGTTAGAAATCAAAAGTTTATTGTTTTATAAGCTAAATATTATGCTTTCTCTATGGATACAACAGACTACCGCAAGCTGTTGCTAGGATATTTTATTAATTTTAATTGTGATTTTTAAACATTGTGAATGATCGTAAACTAAAAAGTATAAAGTGTAATTGAAACCACTAATTTATTCCACTAATTGATAGGTTCTGAATGAAGCTTAATTGTATATGCAACGGGTAAATTGCATTTAATAATGCCAAAACGAAAATGTGTAGTAACTAATGAAATATGCTCAAACTTCTCTTTTTTATTAAAAGGGGATTGTCCAATTCTGATGTCATTTGTAACATATGCAGTACAAATTTTAGTCTGCTTACAAAGGTAAAAGGGTATACCAAAGGTTCAAAGGTTTACTAACACTTTTTCAGCTGCCTTTAATTCTCCCTTTAAACTATGTTCATCTGTTCAACGAATCTAGGAAGAAGGAATCTAGGAAGACATCCAAACAGTGACAGAAAATACAATTTACCTGTGAATTAAATTGACAGACAACAACTCTCACTGTCATGTATTCTTTCGTTAGACAAACTTTACATATATTTGATATCACTTAAAATTTACGTAATCGATCTTTAAATTCATTGTTGCCAACCATGGACATATTCGGCGCCGGGCTGACTAACTGGAATTTAAGTTTCGCGCTGGGGATTCAGGTGGCAGCTCTCTGTAAAAAATGCCAAGTTGCCACATTTATTTATTTATTTCCTGATAACATTGTCATTCGTTTTGACATTTTAGTTTTGTATTACGAGTTTTTGGTTTAACTAAATTCCTAGTTGAGGAACTTTAAGCTTAAAAATGTTTACTAGCAGACCTTGTCGAACATTGTTCTTTTTAGAACCGAATATTTTGAACAGGAAAGGGGTAATAATGGTCCTTTATATCCCTTAAGTGCTGTTAAGAAGGTGAGTTTTGTTGATGTAAATATAATAACTTTCCATTATATAATTTGGGCTAGCCGAAAAGAGCCTTTATTTGCTATCGATAGTTGTGCCTCGGTGGTACGAAAGTGCTACCATTGCACGCAGGCCGCTATCTCGCGATGCGGGACTTAATATCTTACCGCTACTTTACGACAAGTCGTGTATATATACTCTGCGCTGTGCTCGACATATTGTGGAAACGACCCAAGCTCACCTGATGATGGGGTAGGGCCCCGAAACCGGTAGTGAGAGCAGGTTGATCCACATTATGTCGAACACAGCGTGGAATTAATTTCCATATTAGCAGTTCAAGGCAAGAAACTCTTATATAATTTTATTATATAATAACTTTTATATATTTATAATGAATTTATTTTTGTTTCTTAAAATATTCTGATTAAAAGAAAATATGTAAAAGTGAACAACGCTGTGCCAGTCAAGCTTAATCACGTGAATAAAAGTTTATTTGATATGAACAATAAATTTATAATTTATTTTTTGACGTCCGGATTTCCGAAGTCACTTATCCGAAATTTCCAAAAACTTGTACGGAAACCCTAATTGGATCATAAAACTTATCTTATACTACCTTATGTTTTTTTATACAATTGTCTCAAAAAATCTACTCTTCGTACCTCTCAAGGTTTTTTTCTGTGATGTTTTTTTAATATTTGCTATAATTTAATAAGACCAATACCAAATCTCCTTTTTTTCACGTCAAGTATTGCATTTGCCCATCACTATCTAGATTCTAGAATATAGTATCCAATTTCTAAATTTTTCACCTTAGGTTGTCTTAAACACCCGAAAGAAAGAATGGCAAAAAACCATCACTGAAACAGAAAAAAAGCTATTTTCATTCTTTTCAGTATTTTGTTCTCTCTTCTTTATTGATTCTGACGACGCGACGACGAGAAACGTATCCCATGGAAAACTGTACCGGGTCTGCATTTCTGGCCTTTGGTGCCGATTTTCAAAGCGCTCAGTAAAATAAGATGTAGGTTCTGAATAAAGAAAGAAGAGCAAGTATTTTCCCCCGCGCATGAAATCTAGCGTCAGATTAAGTGGTTATGTAATAAATACTTCTCACTTTTCTCTCTGTCGACTTACTAGATCGAAGAAAAAAAAACACATGCTTACATGTAAACACCGACCCAAGATTTCGCTTGCCACTAGGGTATTATGTGTTTGTTAGGTAAATTTGTCTATCAGTTCTTAAAAAGCCACTGAATGTTGATGAATAAGATTATATCCGTCGATTCTAAATACTGCAATCCGTGAAATACCCAGCTGCTCCCAAATCCAAAATATTAAAATAATTATTTCCAAAAAGCATTAATATTATAACTTTTTCTCCGTTTTACAGTATATCACATCAAAAACGAATATACGAGCGAATCAGACAGCGAGAGACCGAGAAAAATGGCGGATTTGGCGCCGAGAAAATTCGAAGGAATCGGACCCACAACCAAAGACGGAATGCCCCTCATACTACGATCGGTAAGTAAGCAGTGTGTGCGTTGTGTGTAAAACCAACCAACTGACTGTTATCTTAATCACCAAATTCCATAGCGATAATCCTCTTTAAACACCTAACTTTTTTACGTATAGATAAATATAGCAGAAATTTTAATTCCAGGTGCAGTTGTGCGTCACCATATAATTTTTCATGCAACCTTTGAGACATTCAGATTGATGAGAACTAGACTACATTTTTACGACCGTAAATAAAATTATTGAAGTCGGTTTCATGACTTGTTAGTTTATGAGTTCATTATATTGTTCACTATATATTTTAGTAATTGAATATCACTATAAAAACAGAAATTAGATTTCATCAGTGATAAAAATTGAAAAGAGCTATAAAATTGAAGATAATTCTCAGGAAATTTACTATATTTTGAGAGTGGTAGACAATGATGAATAATGAAATAAAATATTTTCTAAGTCATCTTCATCATCATTTCCATTACTCGCTGACGAGTATTTGATACGCATCAGAAGATGGTTACGGAAGGCGTTTTCTTTCATGTGCTTTTCTGTAACTGAAAAGCCCGATAAAGGTTGATTCTCACTATACCTTCAGTTTCCATTCCATATCCATTCCATATCCATTCCATATCCATTCCATATCCATTCCATATCCATTCCATATCCATTCCATATCCATTCCATATCCATTCCATATCCATTCCATATCCATTCCATATCCATTCCATATCCATTCCATATCCATTCCATATCCATTCCATATCCATTCCATATCCATTCCATATCCATTCCATATCCATTCCATATCCATTCCATATCCATTCCATATCCATTCCATATCCATTCCATATCCATTCCATATCCATTCCATATCCATTCCATATATCCATTCCATATCCATTCCATATCCATTCCATATCCATTCCATATCCATTCCATATCCATTCCATATCCATTCCATATCCATTCCATATCCATTCCATATCCATTCCATATCCATTCCATATCCATTCCATATCCATTCCATATCCATTCCATATCCATTCCATATCCATTCCATATCCATTCCATATCCATTCCATATCCATTCCATATCCATTCCATATCCATTCCATATCCATTCCATATCCATTCCATATCCATTCCATATCCATTCCATATCCATTCCATATCCATTCCATATCCATTCCATATCCATTCCATATCCATTCCATATCCATTCCATATCCATTCCATATCCATTCCATATCCATTCCATATCCATTCCATATCCATTCCATATCCATTCCATATCCATTCCATATCCATTCCTATATCCATTCCATATCCATTCCATATCCATTCCATATCCATTCCATATCCATTCCATATCCATTCCATATCCATTCCATATCCATTCCATATCCATTCCATATCCATTCCATATCCATTCCATATCCATTCCATATCCATTCCATATCCATTCCATATCCATTCCATATCCATTCCATATCCATTCCATATCCATTCCATATCCATTCCATATCCATTCCATATCCATTCCATATCCATTCCATATCCATTCCATATCCATTCCATATCCATTCCATATCCATTCCATATCCATTCCATATCCATTCCATATCCATTCCATATCCATTCCATATCCATTCCATATCCATTCCATATCCATTCCATATCCATTCCATATCCATTCCATATCCATTCCATATCCATTCCATATCCATTCCATATCCATTCCATATCCATTCCATATCCATTCCATATCCATTCCATATCCATTCCATATCCATTCCATATCCATTCCATATCCATTCCATATCCATTCCATATCCATTCCATATCCATTCCATATCCATTCCATATCCATTCCATATCCATTCCATATCCATTCCATATCCATTCCATATCCATTCCATATCCATTCCATATCCATTCCATATCCATTCCATATCCATTCCATATCCATTCCATATCCATTCCATATCCATTCCATATCCATTCCATATCCATTCCATATCCATTCCATATCCATTCCATATCCATTCCATATCCATTCCATATCCATTCCATATCCATTCCATATCCATTCCATATCCGTTCCTTATTTTTATTGTGTTGACGCTATACGTAAACTTCCGTTCCGTATCAGTTCCATACTTTTTATTGTACAATTTATATAATTACGAAAGTTTTATTTTAAAAATTTGTATCTTTTGGAAAAGGTTGGAATAAAGTTGTTTGTATAACACTGTTTGGAAAGGAATGATTAATAATTAAGAGGCGAAAGAATAAATAAATATCAGCAAAATTTTAACAGAGGTGGTACAAATGTAAGAACTTGACAACGCTGCTTCCGATACGCTTCAGTCCGTCCGCAAAAAAAATGTATGGAAGAAAAGGATATGGAACGGAAGGGAAACGGAACGGATAGTGTGTATTGTCGTATTCATTTACATGATATAATATTTTATGTAAACGGAAGGGAGCTGATATGGAAGGTATAGTGAGAATCAACCTTTATCCTGTAGGTCCATCTACCAGTATTGGAGTTCTCCTATTCCAGCTGCCATGCATTTAGTAGGTTTTCCCGTGCCTCTTGTTTATTAAGACCCATATATGTTTTATGTCTCTCGGAGGAATACCTGCTATAACCAAGGCTGAATCTCCCGAGATATATAGTCCTATACGCGCAACATGTCCTGATTTCTGCAACCCGTTGCAATCGGGCAAGGTTTAGTTTATTTTGGGCTTTAGATATTGCTTGTATCCATATAGGAGCGTAAAGTAGTTGTGAATGGACCACCCCGCATGACGCTTCTTTTTTAACGCCTTTGGCCTCCAACATTAGGTAGTAAACGTGATAGTGCCCTGAATGATTTCTCATCTTTCAAAATGGTCATGCCTATGTGCTCTTTAAAGGTGCGTTTTTTGTCCAGCCACACTCCCAGGTATTTGACTGCATCTTTCGGCTCTACTCTAGTACCCTCTACTTCGAAAACTACGGGAGAGATATTTCCCTTTGTGGATATTTGCACAGCTTCCGTTTTTTTCGGTGCTAATTTTAATTTATTATGCATCATCTAGGCAGAAACTTTAATAAGGGCAGTGTTAGCTTTATTCATTAACAGATTTTCATTGTCAGAAACAACAACCAGGGCTACGTCATCAGAAAATCCAATTAACGTCACGCCGCGCGCCGCTAGGTAGATCTATATTTAGCAGGCTATCATACAATATATTCCACAATGTTGGCCCTAAGACTGATCCTTGGGGTACACCACTAGTAACACTAATCGTTTTTGCGGTCCCTTCAGCTTCCATAATTATTCTTTTATCTGTTAAGTAAGACGCAATAATGGAAATCAAGTTGATTTCTTTTTCCATAAGTCTGTTTGGAATTAATTGTCTAGATGCGCTATTAAAGGCATTTCTCACGTCCAACGTGATGACTCCGATTTCGATTTCGTGGGGCATAATCTGCTGCTTCTTTGGCAATTTTCATTACCTCCATAATAGCGTCTACGATTTGCCTTCCTTTTCTGAAACCAAATTTATTTATTGACAGTCCACCCGTCCTGTCAAGCTCTTGGTTTAGTTTTGCAAGTACCATCTGTTCGTATTGTTTTCCTTCCACATCCAGAAGACATATTGGTCTATATGCTGTAGGGTTTCCTATTTCTTTAATAGGTTGCGCCTTACCTATCTATCTAAAAAACAGAAGTCAGGTTCGGGTCTTATTTTCGGGACTTATAATTTAAACTTTTGATTTAAACTTTTAAGATTCTAGATCTAGACCCTCCTTAAATTCAGTTTTTAATGTCGAATAAAATTATATAATATTATATTTATATGCATTGTGCTTTCGGTAATCTACATTAAAGTGGAATTATCATAGACTTAAAATAAAAGTCTATGGGAATTGTTCTGTAATTTTGTTAAGATTGGTTGCAGACAACTATATTTAACAGGTACAGGCTATTTTACTGTTAAATTGTAAATAAAAAGAAAAATATTAGTTGCTGATTATAATTTATTATTATATTTAAAGTTAAATATTAATTATGTAGGTACAATATAAAACATATAATTGTCCAAAAAAGTCATAAAAAGAAATAAACTAATAAAAATAAGTCACGTTTCATATACTAAATAAATTTAGTTGACAATAGTTTAAAATAAATGATGATAAGCAGATTCTATCAAAATAGATTTTGACTATAGATTCTATCAAAGAATGAAAACGAAATTATATTACCATATAGAAACGCGTTTTGATTTTTAGGGCTGTGAAAAAATTCAGCTATTCACCTATTCATGTTTTTTTTAGTTTTTTTCTAAAACGGTATGGAAATATGGAAATGGATAACGGGATTAACCGTTCAACAAGCAAAAAAAAAGTCAATAATATATTTTTTTCCTCTTATAAAGACAATCCGGGGACATACTGTATACATATTATACGGTGCGCAAAATTAATTACTAGGCTAACACAGGAAAATCCCCCATATAACCTATCTATAATCCTTCCAATATCTTATCAGTACGAACAGAATTAACTGACAAGGCAAAGCCCATAATATAAATTTAATATGAAAAATTTTATAGAATAAAATTTTATAAAAGGGATAATAGTAGTTCGAGATCAAATGAATAGATCTATTGTTTTGCAGGAAGTGAAAGACAAGGACCAATCTAAATGGTACAAGAGGATGTACGACACCATTCATAAACAGAAACCCCATAGAGGTAAGTCCAATAGTTTCAAATAATGATTTTATCGTCCTGATGTGTTCATAGTCTGGTTCTGATTTTTTTTCCACCAAATGATTTTGCAATAAAAGTCTTTAGTATTATCCCAAGATCACATGTTATAATATAAATATTCTTAAGGATGAAACTTATTTTATTTTTTATTTGTTGCATTTACCAACTTTTAATACAGGGTATAAAGAATAAGCAAGAAAAATTCTCGTGGTATTGATTTTTCAAAAATAATGTGAGTTTTTCATATATTTTTTAGTCTTTGTATTCTTGTATTTGCGCTGTATATTCACCATTTTAAACCATAGATAAAAGAAATAAATTTAGATTGGAATGCTCGGCTTCCCGCCAAAACGTTTTTTTGGACCGCGGACGTTGTAGGGCAGTGCTATAGCAGTTTCTCTCAAGTACAACCGCAAACAAGGACACAAAGGATTTTTTCTTGTGAAAGTCGATATATGATCAGTAACTTCAAAAACTAAAAAATCACCAAAAAATTAATCCGTTCTTGATGAAAAAATACCGAAAAGTATATAAAACATTCATACAGAGTCAGTCATAAAGTCGTGGCACATCAAAGTTACATTTTTTAAGTGGAACCCCCTGTATATAATTGCATATTTCAATTCTTCCTTCAATTCTAAGCAAAAATGGAGATACACCCAATGTACCTCAAACCAACCGGTTCCGAGTTATTGACTTTAGAAAATATCACTTAAACAATTCGGTTTAATTAATTTCGATGTGTTCGGTTTCATTTAACGATGTCATTTTGGAAACTTTGATACTTAATAATATTTGAAATTAGTTTTCAAGTTAGCATTTATAGATGTATAAAATGATATTTTATCAAGGCTGAAAATTACAAAATTTTCATTTAATATTTCAAAACCAGAACTCGATATTTCGGAAACGGTTAGATTCAGATACATTATGTTATTATAATTTTTGATTAAAATTTAAGGAAGAATTGAAATACCTAATAATATACAGTGGGTTCTATTTAAAAAAAATTATCGATAGTATATAGAGGCAATTTGGTTTACCTTGTAGAGGCAAATAACTTTCTAGAGAAACCAAAAAAAAACAAAAATGTTAAAAGAGTAGGCCCTAATTAATATTTAAAAACGAACGAACTTATGATTTTTTTCTTCGGTACTTATTCATTTACACACTGTATATATTAAGTTTATATTCAGGGTGTCCCAGAAATAAGTGCAAGTATTTTAAGGGATGGTAGATCTCGATAAATGAAACATAATATGTATGTTCTCTTTATTGTTTTTCAAATAAGTCCAAAATAACGGAGTTATTTTACTTTTTCTACGCATTTTCTTTTTTGTAAATTTAATCTACTACCTATGTTGCCATATTATCAAGAAATTATTTTTTTTAATAAAAACTAAAAAAAAATCCCAACAAATTCCAAATTTTCAAAAAAAAAACAATCGCGATAAAAACCTCATAGGCGTCTTTCTGTGGTTGAACTATACTACCAGTTAAAATACTTGCACTTATTTCTGGGACACCCTGTATATATGCCAAAGAAACTAATTTTCAATACGGTCCTGCACTGCGTACTATTGTCTTTGACTGTGACTCTAATTATGTCACATAACAATAAATAAATAATCACATAATAATAAATAAATATTGTTAATTTCAAGGATAAAAATTATAGAGAATTTTCGTGGCAATAATTTTTCCGCACCTATATCATTTTTATCAGGTGTAGTATTAAACAAAAACATTTTCTTTTTCAGATGAATACGTCACCATCAAGTACAAACAGAAAAGAGGTAAATATTAATCATGAATTTAACAAAAAAAAAATCTGCGAAAGACCTGGTTACAAAAGAATCGCTATAGACACAGTTATTTCAATGTATTCTTTTATAGAATAAATTTAACATTTGGGTACAAAATAGATCGTAAACATCTTCCTGTAGGTCTTTAAACTCTATATGATTACTAGTATTCTTCTTACTTTTAATTTTTTTTTATGTTGCCAACACAATGATGAATCTACAGAAAAATCCTTATATGCTTTGGCTCAAATTTTCAATATGTAGTTTTACGTAATAACTATGAATAACATAACCAAACATTATGTACATAACTAAATTATGTACTTATCTAATTTGGAATAAAACAATGTTTTTGCCATTTTCAAAAAAATATCACCAGCTCCATAATAAGCCAAGAATTGTCAACAAATCAGCGATACCCGTCCATTTTTTGCAGCTCATTTTGCTTGAAATTGTGTATTCTGAAAATGTATAAATATATATTTTTCCATTAATCATTTATTGAAAGACCTAAGGTATCTTGGATTATTTATGTGTGGGATACGGTTTAAAAAAACACTTAAGAACAATAATATATAAATAGATTTGCCATTATTGTTAGATTAGATATGTTTTAGAAAAATGTAATTCAGAGATTGAGCAACACAATAAACATTTGTCATTCGTTCAATTCAGTTTGTGATATTCGTTCAATTTTTTATCTATAAAAGCAATGCGATTTTGTTTAGAATCAAAAATTTCTAAAAATCATTATCGTGAAATAAAGTAACTTTTGACAGACTATTTGTCTGTTTCTAACTAACGTTTGGTTCATTAGTTTTATCTTAATAAACGGTGTCATTTTTCTTTTCCCCCATTTTTTTCATACTTTTTTCCTATTACTTAATCCATTCTGTTAAACATCATTCGACAAATACTGGGACTATTATTGCATTATTACATTTTTCTAGAATTCTACTCAAAATCTCGAAACAAAAATTGAATTTTGATATTTTAAACATTTTTATAATTTCTTTATTTAAATGGCAACTTATTTATTTTAATAATCTTATAAGAATATGGCTCTTTTGGCCAAATATCTCTTTTGACTAATAATAGTTCAGTGAATCCTTTGATTTATTTGCAAGTTCGCAAATTTTCCCCAACCAAACCATATTAAATTTGGAATTAAAGTGTTCTAGGCAACTGCATATTTAAAGTAGATACAAAGTGTAATACTTCTTTATAAAAAGGAAAAAAATATGCTTTAAGTCGCTTCTAGATGCGAATGAAAAACGGACGTTTTACCTGAACCGAATTAAAACTGGCAGTCAAAACGTAAAGTAAAATGTCTGGACTGAGCTCTAGACCCATATCTGAAAACCCGGAATTGATATTTAATTCCGGATTAAAAATGAAATTAAAATCGGATAAGTAATTCTTAACGATGCTGTTAACTGAACTTTCATCCGTGATGGGACTTTTATATAAGGGTAGAGAGATCAACAACCAAAGAAAGCCAAATTGCTTCTTGTCTAGGTTTTGGTGTCTATTTACTCCATTTCAGGGCTGTCCAGTTTGGTTGGTGGTTTGTAATAGCCAAAATAAAAATTATTGACCAATTTTATGTATTGATAGAGCCATGGAGATGGAGTAAACAGAGTTGCCAAAGTGGCCAAGGAGTAAACTAAACGTTGCCAGGAAATGAATATTTCAGTTCTTTGGTCGTGCAGTACTTTCGCTACAAGTTCATCATCATAAATATAAAAAACGCAATAAAACCAAAAAAATACTAATGATAATATAAGCAAAGCCCCAGCTACTCTTCTTCTTCTGAAGCCTTTGCTTCAATGGGCCTCTCTAACCTCAAGAATGTCATTAGATGTTAGTTTTTGGTAAACAGCTTTGCCTCCGGGTTATACAGAAATTTGGAGAGATGAAGTAGGTATGTCACTGGTATTTTGCAGCGTTTAATATCACTTCTCCATTACAGGCATTCGGCTCTCTTAGTAGTCTTGGTAGAAGTTTCTTAGCCGCCCATACACGAAAGGGATTTTTAAGCGAACGATCCCGCAGTCCAGATATGACATTTCGTATATGCTAACGTAAGAGTACAGATTAAGAGTACAGATATTTTGGTATTCACAAACGCGCATATTTAATCTTTTATCAAGTTAGAACTCACAATAATCGGGACTGCCACATATCCGATATTTCTGCGCAGTGGTCCACTAACCTACAGATATAAATGAGAGGTAAAGTCTACGGCGGAACAAATCTTTTAAAAATCCCTTAAACATACATGCAACGGATTTTTAAGCGATCGGTCCATAGATATGACATTATGTACCCGCCGATCCGGTCGTTCAGAGTACAGATATTTTGGTATTCAAAAACGCGCATATACAATATGATCTTTCATTAGGTTCACTCACAATAATCGAGACTGCCACATATCCGATATTTCTCCGCGGTAGTCCACTAACGCACAAATATTAATGAGAGGTAGAGACCGTGGAGGAACAAGTCTTTTAAAAATCCCTTGCGTGTATGGGCGGCTAATGCCTCCTATGAATTTTCAGATTTTTCTGAACCTTTTCGGTGGTTGTTTTGTAATTGGAGAAATATAGTAGGCTCCAAAATATAATAGTTTGCGGTAAAGTAATAGATTATTTTGAACTGAGGTTTCACTAACCCCAATGTATTGACGTTTTTTTTTCGGAGACATGCCCCGGGCTATAACGGGATCTCCCCTGCATTGCAAATATTTAATCCAACTTTTGAATATAATAATATTTTTTTTTTCTTAATTAAAATCGGATTTGGATTAGACACTTCCAAATGTACAAGGTGGTCGAAATTGGTCTGTTTTAACAGAGAAAACCTATTTCCTGACTAGATAGAGCAGAACCGACATAGCTGTCATGGGCTCGATTTCTGAGAAACGTTAAATGGCGTAAACCGCCTGTTAATATTTTCACTGCCAACTGAGAAAACCTTTTTTATTTTGCGGAATAATAAAATTCTGTAAAAAAGTTATTAAGGCACTTTATTATGAAAAATCCAGTGGCGTAGTCAGTTTTTTTCTATGCTTGCTGTTTTTGTCAGAAATAATAAAAAATATAATTTTTTAAATGGAAATCATAGTTGGCTATGAACTTAAAAAAATGCTGGCGTTTTACCCTTTCCAATGATCTAAAGTTATGGACATCTATTTCTAAGAATGAGAGAAATATTTGGTTTTTGATCTTTATATCGAAGCGGGCCTTGATTTTGTGTTGACCTATTTGCCTAATTATTTTTTATCACAATTTAATGTTCTATATTATTATTTATCTGCATAATTAAAGACTTTTGAAAAGGTAAATTAACATTCTATATTAGTATTAGTAATTACAATTGGAAATCGATACAATAAACAAAGAATAAAACTGAAAAACAGTATTTTTTGAGTGACGAATAGAGTTTTCTAAAAAAATCATCAAAGTTGTTCAAACTGTTGAATACCTTGTTCCCCCTTGTTGAATACACAATAAACATCTTTTGCGCTAGTTACAAAAATTTATTTGACGAACTGGGGTAATAAGTCTAAAAGCTTGCCTAGTAGCCTTCAGTAATTCATCTTTAGTCCCGATCCCATTGGTTCTTCCCTTATATATAAGATCTTTTAATTTCCCCCATAAAAAAACTCGAAAGGAGTTACATCACAGGACCTAGCAGGCCAAGATATGGGCCAAGATACCTTGTTCCAATCTAATTCTCTCTAAATTCTCCATTTAATTGTGCAGTTGCAACCCTGGCTTTTTAATTCTACTAATATAGAATGTTGATTTACCTTTTCAAAAGTCTCTAATTATGCAGATAAATAATGATATAGAATATTAAATTGTAATAAAAAATAATTAGGCAACTATAGGTCAACACAAAATCAAGGCCCGCTTCGATACAAAGATAAAAAACGTAATATTTCTCTAATTTTTAGAAATAAATACACATAACTTTATATCGTTGGAAAGGGTTAAACGCCAGCATTTTTTTAAGTTCATAGCCAACTATGATTTCCGTTTAAAATATTATATTTTTTATTATTTCTGACTAAAAAAGCAAGTATAGAAAAAAAACTGACTACGCCGCTGGATTGTGGTTAAAAAGTGCCTTAAGAACGTTTTTACAGAATTTTATTATTCCACGAAATACAAAAGTTATGGGCAATTTTCCAAATGTTAAAAAATTCAAAAAGACTCCGAATCTCGGTTGGCAGTGAAAATATGAACAGGCGGTTTAGGCCATTAAACGTTTCTCAGAAATCGAGCCCATGATATCTATGTCGGTTTTGCTCTATCTAGTCAGGAAATAGGTTTTCTTTGTTAAAACAGACCAATTTCGACCACCCTGTACCTATTGGCTTATGTAGTGTATTGTAATCAAAACAAGCAATAACGGTGTTTTTCCCCTGTGCACTTTAGCAGTTTTTCGTTTTTTAAAATGTCAGTTTTATTGAATGATATTTTGAAACTTTATATAACAATTCCGGTAGGTAAACAGGTACACGGTAGTACAATCACCCGGTATATCTGAACCTAGTTTTTAAAATTAATAATGTAAAAAGTCTAAATAAGAAAACGTGTCATTTTCTGCGTACATTTTGGAAATTTATGAAAACGTCCTGTGTTACAATTATTCCATTTAATAAATTTACACTAATTTACGGCTAATCTCCACACGAATCCGTGCTATTTACATAATAATATTGTTCACCGTGGTGCTGATAAGACCGTCTAACACTTGAACTTTCGTATAATAATGCCCGCTTTAGTCAGTTTCGAGCATCTTCATCTACTACGCGTTCTTATCTCTCTGATTTATAAAAAAATTCGACGCATCTTTGCCTGAGCAGTTTGAACCACCATCTTTACAAAAAATGTTGATTAGAAAAATACTTAGAAAACTTGTTGAATTGAAGTAAAGCAAGAAAAAAATTGAGAAGCGATCTTATAGTGTCGGTACAACCAAAAAAAAATGTGTTGGTGAGCTAAGATAGTGTGCACCTGATGGTTTAAAATGCCTATAATTGTTGCTTTTCTCGAGTTTTGGTAGAGGAGTTAGATATTGCTGTCTAAATGTAGTAAGTGTAGCTGTAAAAGTTGTGTCTAACATAGATTGTTTTTTTATTGTTTTTAGTATTTCTTAATGCATCAATAATTTCATTAATGTCTTTATCTTTTTTACGGGATCATTTCTGAAATATATATGTGTACGGTCACTGAAATAGAAAAATTTCAAATAAAAGATATAATTTTATGACTAAATTATTAAATACTTATCGATATATAAAACTATCTGTGAAAAATGGTTCCTTATTATTGTATAGATGTTAAATAATTTTTAGATATAATGGATATTTTTTCGCTTTCGGCGACCTCTTTGAATGAAATTTTAAATTACTTTCAATTTTATATAAAGAAAACACTTAATCCACATTCCGACGCATGAAACTTATAAATATCAAAAAATATAACTATTTTAGAAAAAAATACTACCTAATACTTAGTCTTAAGAAAGATTTACCTTCTAGGATTCACTTTTTCTGTTTATTAAAAATTTCAATATTAGGAGCAATACCATCTCTTATAAATATATACTTAATCGGAACTTTTTATTGCATATCGGGTGTTTCCCAAAAGTGACTCACTCCTATAACAGTGTTTTGTTTATAAAAAACGAGATTCAGTACGTTAGTATAGGTATGACATAAAAATCAGTATTGATAGACGTATTCAGTTGTTTTCCGTTACTTCCTGTTTCGCCGAAAGTAACTACAACTTTCCATTTTTAAATTGTATCTTCAGGTTTTTTACTCTATTCGATAGAAAATGACACTCTGAATATAATGACATATCATATGCCAACTTTTTACCTTTTTGGCATATGGTTTATTTGAAATTGTAACTTGCGGTTCATAACGACAATTTGACTCGAAATACCAAGTCGGCACCAAATTATTTGTAAGAAAATGCTTTTTCCAAATATGTTAATGGGCCACCTTCTTACAATTTGAAAAAATTGAGTTATGATTAAAAATGCCATTTGGGCATTTTTTAACCTGTTAGGAAGAGACACGAAAAATATTAGCCGATCAAATCTATTTTTCCAAGGCTCCTTGATTAAAAATTAGTGTTTTTAATATAACCATATAACATAATATAATATATTTTATTCTAGATTAAATTTTCAAATACTATTTTGTTTTGGTGAGAAAATGTCAAAATTTCACATATGATATATTGTTCTATTCAGAGTAGCATTTTCTATCGAATAAAGCCCATACTAAAATATGTTAATAAAAAGTTGGTAGGCAATTGTTTTAGTTTCAAAGTAAAGGAATTTTTCCAATTTTTTTTTATCTCAAAAACTGCAACTTTGACTGATTTTGATGTTATAACAAATTTTGTTGCAAATATTATTCCTAATCTTAAATTGAAAACCGCGTTTCGCTAGCTACTGCAATTTTGGAGTTACAATTTTTAAAATTTTTAACCCCCTTCCATACTCCCTTACCAACCCCCCACCTCCACCAAAAACTAATAGCCAGATTCTCGGGTGCCACAGTATTTTTGAGCCAAATTTGGTTAAAATCGGTTTAGCGGTTTTTGAGTTATCGTATTACAGACAGACGGACAGACAGGCAAACAGACAGACACCATGAAAATATTTTGTATTTAGGTCATTTATGACCCAAATAACTAATTTTGAGTGACACTAAAAAAACTTTTTTTTGCCGATCTTAATAGCCTACCATACCTGTTGGTATGGTCGGCTAAAAATAAAAAAGTTATAGTGGTGAGCCACTTTTGAGAAACACCCGGTATTAAAACATTTATTCAATTTTTCAGTAAGATCAAGAGCTAAAAGGAAACATTTTCTGTATAAACGCTTAACATATTATGATATGTATACCATAGAAAATACCTACTGTATGATGTTTACCTCTATTTCCTCAAATCTAGATTCGACCTTGTCTAGTTTACCTCAAAATATAATAAAATATTTTATCGAACATACACTTGACTTTTATTGACAATGACACAGTTTAGACTAAGGTTTGAGACATTCTTTTGTTATAATTTTGATTTAATAAGATAAGGATTTATGAAGCAATAATATACAACATTAAGTAGGTAATTTTGTAGCATCGTATATAAACGTGACAGGAAAATATTATTTAATACTTTTAGTCTGTCCAATACAATGACTACAGAATACATTTTAGTCATTGGTCGAAGGGAAACTGTATTTTGTGTCATACCCTCAATATCATCTATATAATTTTAAAAAAGTAACAAATTATTATTTATTTTTGTATATGCAGACTAATATTTTTTTATTAGAAATTGTTTACCTACATTTTTGTTAGTTAAATTGAGCTGTACTAAAGAAGTATCATTGCTAAAAATATAAAAAGGAAAATTACAGCATAAAGATTTGAGATCTTGGATCTTTATACTGTTGTTGACTACTAGGTATAAAAAAGCAAGCAGCATAAAATAAGAGTGAAATTTAATTTCGGAATATTCAAAATATATCGTACCTCTTCGTCTTTCAAAATATTTTATGAATTGAGTCTGAGATACAGGGAGGATTAGGTAGTGGGGGGATACCTCATACAAATATAAAAACCAATCCACCAAAAGAAATATAAAAACAACTATTTCTTTTGATTTAATTAAAACTAAAAATTTAAAAAAAACTAAAAATATTGTTAATTTCAGCACAGTATCCTTATACTTCTGGATATCTATCGGAACCAGAACCTGGTGCCTACGACAGTGATTTTACCGAGTACAAATATGCCACTCTAGATCGTAGACGACCTCCCACATCCCAGGAATATTTGAATACTTCAACGACAATGCCTCGAAACGTACCTGATAAGTAAGTAAGATCACGACTGTAGGAACATTATACCCTAATACCCTGATGGATTCCATATGAACTAAGTGGTATTGTTTATACCAAGGTCTACACTAACCAAAATTTACTTCTAATTTTCAATTTCATTCTCAAAAATAATTTCTCACAAACATTTAAAAGTTGGGGCGTTGATTGAAAGAATTGGGAAGATACGCAACCTAATGGCGTTGATTGAAGAAATAAGAAGATGCGGAACCTTATGAACGATTTCGCTGCACAAAACCTGTCCGAGATGTAGCTGGCGTTACCGTCAGCCTGTCCGAGATTTAGTTAAGCTCTGCGCTCATAAAAAATCTTTTCTAGGTACTGAATATGTCGTATGATCGAAAAAAGTCGTTTAGTTGGCTTGGAAATGACGATTATTAACATTCACCATAATATTTTATATATGAAATAACAGCGATCTTCATTTCCAAGCCAACTCTGACGCCGTCCTTTTGTTTAATCGCGTATAATATTATATTAAATTGTTTAATGATAGAAAATCCATATTATTAACGTATTGTACCCAAAATCCGTAAATCTACGAATTAATCAGTAGTTCTGACAACACTGTCTCCGGCAACCACTCACTCTGTCGACTGAAATCAGAACTACGGTACAGTATTCTTTATGCGCAGCTCTGTAAACGACTATCAGCGCGCAACGGCGCGGCGCAGAGCTAAACTAAATCTCGGAATTCTCGGACAGGCAAACGATAACGCCAGCTACATCTCGGACAGGTTTTGAGCCACGAAATCGCTTATAACGTTGTGCATTTTCTTATTTCTTCAATCAACGGTTAGGGTTTGGAATCATTGATGTTACAACAGCAAAATAAAACAATAACTCACCACAATACACCAAAACACTTTACTCCTAATAGACTGAGAGCTGACTACATAAAAAACCTTATCATCGTTACATGGCTAATTTTTTCTGTGAAGTGTCTTTTTATGTAGCCATTGTGAAATAGTCATGTCTGCCAGCGCGATCCCGGGGCTTAAAGCGGGGGCGGCCAATCGAAAGGGTGAAATTTTGACACTAAAAATATTATAAGGCGCACGAGTTATAATTGACAAATAGCTTTTATTTATTATTAGGAAACGTGTAAAATTGTTGACAGACATTTTTCTCGTGACTGAAATGCCAAATGACAAAAGAAAATCATCGCATACATGCATGTCGGTTGGTGGAATGTCATGTTTATTGTTAATTACTTTTAAAAACCGCATGCAAAAGGGCAGACAAAAAAATTGTTATTGAAATAATAAAAAAATATATTTATAATATAATCGTATATTATATGATTTATCTATACTTAAATGGATGAGGCGGCCAGCGTTCCCTGAATAAAGCGCTAGAGTAATATCGCGCTTTTGATAACTGTCTGCAGCTGATTGAGCCACGATCTTTTTGTCTGCCCTTTTGAATAAGGCTTTTAAAATAAATAAATATGACATTTCACCAATCGGCATGCAAATATGCAATAATTTTTTTCATTCTTCAAATTTCATTTTTTAATAATTTTTAAAATTTCATGCCTCTTTCGCGTTGTCTGTCGTCATTTTAGCGACTAGAAAAATGTCTGCCAACAATTATCTACGTTTCTTAATAATAAATAAAAGGTATTTTCGCAATTATAACTCATGTATCATATAATATTTTTAGTGTCAAAATTTTCAAAACCCTTTCGATTGGCCGCCCCCGCTTTAAGCCCCGGGATCGCGCAGGCAGACATGACTATTTCATAATGGCTACACAAAAGGATATTTCTCCACACAAAAAATTAGCCATTTAACGATGTTAAGGTTTTTTATGTAGCCAGCTCTTAGACTATAACACTGCACACGCGTTCCTCTAACAATGTTAGTTTTTAATCATCTGCTCATAATGATGATGATTAAAACTAGTCTAGTTGGTTGATGCTAACATGGTTAGCGAAAGCGCATCCGATGTTAAGAGGAAAGTATTTTGGTGTATTGTGGTGGAGTTTTATTTTGCGATTTTACCAAAAATTTAAAAGTCTGGTAAATTCGTTGTTTGTATTATAGCGTAAGACATAAGGATAGATAATCTACAAACTTAGAGGTTATGTTAGGTTCAGATTTATATTATTGCCAGTTAATGGACAGAGAAATGTAAACTAGCTGGTTCCTACAAATTAGACATATTTTCATTACTTGAACAATAACTCCTTTTTGGAGGAGATTATGGATATTACATCTGTAGATTTATTGGCATTGTTATTCGTTTTACCTAATAACTTATTTACTATCGATTACTTACCTATTACACTTATTGACTATCGATTGTAAAAGTACTACTATATATTCTACTTATTTTACAGATCATACTCATCATCTGATATTGTAAAAAATACTCCACCTTCGTACAAAATACAGCCAGGAAGAATAGAAAATTATAAGCCCGGACACTCTTCCATATCAGACAAAGAAGCCAAAAAGGTAAAAGCGATTTATTTTCATTCTAAAGTTATGACAAATATTATTATTATTTACACGCAAACAAAATAAAGCGAATCATACATTAAAGCAAGCACAAATACGTTAGCGCTCTTCTGTGACAGCAATAATATGTCAGTAGCAGCACATGATACTTATTCATTTTGATCATACATATGACGCTAAACATTATTAATCATGTACCAAGAATATTACTGAATTTGAGCAAAACCGTCTATCTTCAATTTTATAACTTTGAAATTTTAATTTAACTGAAGTAATCATTATCTTAGATATTGTTTTATTTTATTTTAATTATTCTTTTTTTTATTTTTAGTGGTGGGACGAGGTCATGGACATTTTTGACGGGGTACGAACAATTTACGATATTATTATTTAACCAATTCTCACTTATTACTTATAATATGTTAGAGATCATAATAATCATAACAAAATATTAAGAGCAGCTAAACAATTCTCATTTAGCATTGTCTAGAAATGTTTCATTTGGATATAACGTCTGTGCCAAAAGGTAAAACAAATGGAAATTATTTTGATTAAATTATTGAAAAAAAGTTTTACGTGACCTATTCAGCATACCCTATAATAAAATACTATGGCGACTGACTAAAAGTACGTGTTTAAAACCGGTGTTAGGCTGACACCGGTTGCCAAATAAGGGCTACCCGGTCAGTGTACCGGTGTTATAGGTTCAACAATAGTATATTGTGCAACTAGTGTGAAAAGTTGTCGATTGCCCACTCGCTCGAGTGGGCAATCGACAACTTCGCACGAGTTGCACATACTATTTTTTATTATGTTGCTTTTTAATATGTGTCTTTTGTTATATTTCATCATGTAAACAAAAGAGACTTATTAAAATGCAAAAAATACTTTTGGAACACCCCATAGATGACATTAAACACTTCAAATTTTTAAATCGAATTTTAGAGTAGAAAATGAAGGAATTTTAACGTTGCTTCTTCATAATGGTGTTTAATAAAATGTTTACATGATGAAATATAATAAAAGAGACATATTAAAAAGCAACGTAATAAAATAAACAAAAAAATAAAAAATATTTAAATTAACCTCACTTTAATATTGACACTTCGAGGCTGTCTTTTTTACTTGTCAATTTGCGTGTGCCAATAAAAATTTGGGTGCGAGAAATTTACTTGTCGCACTCAAATCGACATTAAATTTACTCAAAACTAGTGTGGTAACTGTGAAGTGGACAACTAGCGTCTTTTCGACTCCAAAAGAATGCGAAAAGATACTACTTTCCCCGCATGAGTAATAAAATATAATCTAAGGGTGCAACCGGTATTGATGTCGACACCGGTGTTGATCTTGATATAAGTTCGGACTACGGCACCTGTTTTGATAAGAAGAGGTATACTTCCCGAAACTTTAAGAATTTTTTTGTCCGTTAGGCAAATTTGTTTATTAGTAAAGCACTGCCAAAGTTTGCAGAATAAAATCTGTAAAATTTGAATACGCCAATCAATCCTAATTTTTGTCATATACTAACATACCAAATCTCGATTTTTTATCTGTAAAAATAAGAAAGTTATAGGAGTGAGCCACTTTTGAGACGCACCCGGTATACATTTGATATTTTGGACATTTGATATTGTTTTTATTTCATTGGATCCCCTGAAATATTATTCATATTTAAAAAATACGCTTTTTTCCAATTACTCAAGAAGATGTCAGTTATTATAGTATGATGTATCGCATTTTTTTATTGGACAAGCTGAATTGGTTACACATGCACTTTTATGAAAATAGTCTATTTGTTTTAAACATTTTAGCACTCACTTTAGTGTTTATGTACAATCTCGTTCATTAACTAAGGAGTTTGCAGTAACATATTAGTTAATACAGTTACATAACTGAATATCAATAAAATTAAATCGCATAGTAAATTAAACTTCCTGTGACATACAATTATCTTATTTTTCCATCAATTGGCAATACTACATTCTTTCTTTTCTCCTAGGCTGATAATAAACAGGTAGTTTAAATTAAAGATTTTGGGAAAAACCGAAATTATCAATCTGCAAACAATAATTATATCATTAACGATAACATTTAGTTAGTGTCATAGTCCTGGTAACTAACAAAGGGTCTTTTTCCATTTAAAGTGGTTAGACGACCATTCGGCGTTGCCAAGTTACGAAGTTATGTTCGCGACGGCAATTACTCACTCAGTAAGAAAAGCATTCGCATGAGCAAGATGTACTTTTGTGACGATTGTCGTTGGTTTTCATTGCGACACATTGATCCAAGAATTAATAACAGTTATCTACATATAGTATGTTCATTCTGACGAAAAGATCTAATGGGTAGCCAGAGATGTACATTAGCTCAAAAAAAGTTTTTGAATTACAACTTACAAGAAACTTCTAAGCAAAGTATTTGAGATATCAGGAAAGGTATTTGAAATACTAGATATAAAATACGTATTTTCTAAATACATACTTTTATTAAAATAAGATACTTTTTGAAACATTTTTTTATTTCTTAAGGTTTATTTAGCTTATTATATTAATAAAAATTATGAACAAGAATCGTGGAAATCTGACAAAATATAGTTTAAACTTATTTGGCCACTTTATACTTAAGTAAAACCAAGTACCGTATGATCGAGAAAAAACGGCGTCAGCGATGGCTATGAAATGAAAATCGCTGTCATTTTATATGTAAATTTATATGGGAAATGTCATCGATCGTCATTTCCCAGCCAACTGGACGCCGTTTTTTTTCGATCATACGGTAGTTCTTATTTAACTGTATCATTCATTTTTCTTCGATGTGGTCCAATAATCATTCGTCCAAAAGAAAAGAGACGCTGCACATGGGCGGAATTCGGCGAACAGGTGTTTTTTTAATGTAGAATGCAGATTTAAAATCTTTAAGTTAATGTTTCCTTTTTACTTAAGTATTGCACTATTTCTAAGTTAGCGATGCTACCAGTTAGCCCCGTGTTGCCGCTACTTACAACAGAGGAATCAAAAGCCTCTAAAAACATGTAATGAGATTCGTCTTTTGTCTTTCTTTTTACGTATTCTCCATTGTTGTTTAAGTAATCCAATTTTTATTTTTCATACCGATTAATTTTACGTGTTTCAGTCAAGACAAGGTTTTTGACACGTTCTTTTTCTTTCAATTTCATTTTAAAGTATGGATATGACGCGGAAACTAATATCGCATCATTATTGTATTGACTAAGAGAGGGTCCCAGGTGGGACCCTCCACTGATGCCTCGAAGGCCTATTGAATTGCTAGTTAATTGAAATGGACACTAATATCGCATCATTAGCTGCAGGCTCTAATTGCAAAAACTTTTTAAAACGTCTGTTTATGTTTTTTTCATGTACATCTAGAAAAGTGTCGCAATATTTTAAGTTTTCCATTTTAAGATTTTTTATTGATATATTAGATTCTTATTAGTGCGGGTAATAGACAGCCTTAATATGTGTCTTTATCGCCTTACAGACTTTGTATGGCTTCTCCTATTTACTGCTATCAGTTATAGCTTCAGATATTGAAGAATAAAAATGTTTTGTAATTTTTAGAATGTTTATTTTCCAGTAATGTTTTTTGTTGAATGTAATTCCGAGTATCCTTTTCGTGTAAATGTACAAGGAAATAATATAAGGACTCAAATCGTGTACCTCTATCCACTTGCCGAATTTGGTTCCAATCGACCCATAAGTAAGAAAAATCCTGATGATTTTGTCCATTTAGAGGCATCGGTTCGAAACGTCGAGTGCGTCATCCTATAGCCCGTCCCCAATTATACCGAAATCGACCCACATTTTCTTCAATATCAAATCCTTAGTTCCACCTTGATGAAGATGAAAACTAAACGTCGTATTGCAGGGTGGGACCGTGTGCACCGTCGCTCACATAGCCTACCCACCAAATTTGGTCGCAATCGGACGACATCAACTTTTGACGTTTCTTACGTCAAAACTAACTGTCACAGTGACACGTGTCATACACGGTCAAGTTTGTCTGTGTCCAATCTATCGACATACCAAATTTTATTTAAATCGGATGATTTTTCTAAGCCCTAGGCTGTCCTTACCACTTTTCCTCTCGACATGCCAATATTGCTTCCTTCATCATTATTATTCAATTTCCTTCATCTGCGAATATTTCGTCATATCTAATACGGATATTTAATTTTTTGGCCTGGCAACACTGTCCATATGATTGAATGCTGTAAAAAATATGCATAGGTAATAATTAGGAAAATTATTTTACAAACTAAGTATTTATAAAATACTAATAGACTAAAAAAATGCATCAAAATACAAGATCTAGTCCTAGGTGCCTTCTCTGTTGAGGTTGGCGATTAATATGGTATATGACTCTCTGTCCAGAGCTTGGCGAATAGTTTCTGGCCAGAGCTTGGTGAATAGTTCCCCGACGGAAACACCATACTGACACCGACATGTGGGTCCAATCTCTTATGTTACGTAGCCATGATGTCTTTTTCCTCCCTATGCTACGTTTTCCATCGATTTTTCCTTCTATTATGAGCTGTATTTCTTCATATTCTGAGTGCCGCATTATATGTCCAAGGTAGGAAGTCTTTTTGATTTTAATTGTGCCTGTTAGGTGTGCACGAGTTTTCATTCTGTTTAAATCTTCACAGTTTGTTGTTCTGGGGGTCCAACTTATCCTCAGCATCCGACGATACATCCACATTTCAAACGCATTAAGGCGTTTAATGTCTTCTTGTTTTAGCGTCCATGTTTCGCATCCATATTGAAGTAGGAGCCATATATAACATTTTAATGTTCTTAGCCTCGTTGATATAGCTATTCTCGGATGGCATAAGAACTTCCGCATGTTGAGGAAACCAGCCCTAGCTATTTCAATCCTTCTTCTGGTTTCCTTAGAGTGGTCTAGCTGGCTGTTTAATTCCCTGTCGAAGTAAATATATCTCTGCGTGGTTTCGAGATGGATGCCGTTTACCATTATGTCGGTGTTTTCATTGTCCTGTGGATGTCTGCCGAAAATCATAGTTTTTGTCTTGATGATGGTGTTAATCTCTAAACTCATTCTAATACTTTTCTTTGTCAGTTTGTCCATTAGGGTTTGCAGCTGGTCTTCGGATTCTGCTAATACCACGGTGTCGTCTGCATATCTTATATTGTTTATAATTTTTTCATTTATTTTAGCGCCTTCTGGACAATTTTGAAGAGATTTTCGGATTAGGCATAAATACAAGATACAAGATGAGATTTAAAAAAGTATTTCAAATAAAATAAGATGAAAATACATATTTTGTATCTTTTATCTGTATTTCAAAAGCCAGAGTCGGACTGGCCATATAACCGGGCCCCAGCCTTCGCTGGCCCCCTCTCTTTGGATCTATATATAAAATAGTTCATTATTTATTATTAAATATAAATGAAACAGAAAAAAGTGACGGTAATATTCTGAGGTTATCCCCAAAACATTTTTTTGCATTAACAATATTATATACATTTATATTGCAGTTTGGTTTGCATTGAAATACGGGTAGTATCCTGATTTCAAACACTAACAACGAATCAATAGGGAAAAATTGACTAAAACGTAAGGCGAAAAAGTACGCAAAAAAGTTCCATCCATGTCCCTCCTCACATTGCTACCCGGGCCCCTTCTTACGATGCCTCCCGGGCCCCTCTGGTCCAGTCCGACCCTGTCAAAAGCATACTTGTATCTGAAATAAGTCACATATCTGTATATGAGTGTGGACGCTACGGATTTCATTTATAATGTCAGTTAATCATTATTTTTAAATTCACCACAATTCACCAACCACTTTCAAATATAAACAGATATTAAAAATTATGTTTCGGTAAACATTTGTTTAAATAGCTAATGTAATTCGAGTGAAATTGAAACACAGCCATCCATTATTCTTACCAGTAATATTCCTTTACTAATAATATTGTTTTACTTGGGGCATACTATACTATAGAATAACTGTTATTTTGAAGAAACTAGTATCATAGTTTAAGGAAAAGAGTAGTTGCACTCTCGCAAATATTTTCTGCCAGTTTTTGCAAGCTGTCGAATATCGGCAGATTGCAAAACGTTTCAGTTGAATTCCGTCCGTCGAGCTGCGAGGTTCGAGCGTTGCGTTCCAGCACAGAGACGGATTGACAAAAAATGAGTGCCTTACTGTGTGCTGCTATTGTAGGAATAATTCAAAAAATTGTTCTTTTGAGTTTTTTTAGATTTCCATCGGATATAAATCGGCAAGCTGATACTAATTATCAATTAACATTTAATTATATTTGTTTATTTTAGAAGCTGAGATATTATGTAATTAATTAAATGTTATTATTTTTTAAAGCGTGTGGGCAGATTTTAAAAATAGTTTTTTAGATATACAGGTTGTCTCAAATATGCGCATGAAAATATTTTTTGGTCAGTTGATTTGCCATAAAATTTTCATCCCAATAATAATTTACGAAATAATTTATATAGATTTATTTTTGAAACAATTTTAGAGTAAATATTTTGTACATCTAAAGTCTCCGCAAATTATTCATATTTTTTAATTGAAAGAATTTTATAATAGCATAATCTCTTATACATTTAGTGGACTGTATTTTTTTATTTATTTTTTATTATAAGTGGTCGTATTATAACAATATTCAAAATATTATGGACAAAATATTGAGTTTATATTTGAGGGAAGAAAAGTGCTACACCTAGCTTTAAACCACCGTAAATATACAGGGTGCCCCATTAGTGCGAGGAAGTCCAATATCGTCGTCGTTGTCGAAGATGTGAAATTTTTTTTATTCATATGTTTCAAGGTTTATAGAGGGGCGTATCCTAAAATATTTTGTTATATACAGGGTGTCAAAAAAAAGTTATGTTAAAGTTAGTTTTATTTTTTTTAATTATTTTACATCATTCTATATACATTATTCTATTTCGCACTCATTTTACCGTTGAAAAAGGATTATGTCACCGGATAGCATAGCTGCTGTGTTGGAGCCTCATTTATTACGCACTCATTTCTGGGACACCCTGTAGAGGGTATTTTTTATGGCGTCACCAAAATCGGAATATTTAAAATGGTATATCTCGATTTTTTTAAATGCCACATTCTGTATATTATTTTTCTGTCAGATGCAGAATTAAAAAATGAACATTTTTTATTTAAAGGGTTTCTAAATTTTTAACGGTTTCGCAGATATTCGCAGTATTATATTACGTATGGCTCTTTAAACAGTAAATGTTTATCAAAGCCACCTAAAGGTGCGTATTCATTATCCGCACGAACGAACGAACGAACGAACGAATGTTCGCTAGTGGTATGGACGGGGACCGCACGATAGAACCGCACGAGAAGACCGCACGCATTTCTTCATTCGCGCGCCAGTTCAAATCGTCAAGATATTGTTATAAACCTGTTTTTTTTTTGTTTATATACCGTCATTGAATTATCGCTAAGCAAGTTACTATGGAGCAGTGTATAAGAAGTCGGGCTAGGAAGCGAGAGACCGGAGTTCGAATCTCGGCCGGAACATCACTTTTTATTTTTTTTTAAAATACTGTTGTATTCTATAGTTTATTTTTGTAGTGTAAGAAAAAGAACTATTTATTCTGTTATTTTTTAATCTCCGTTATTAATATAAATTGATTGTTAGTACAATACCTCATTTAATATAAAATAATATTCTACTTTTTGAAATGTATCGGGCCCTAATTGTACCTAAAAGTAATATATTTTTAGTGATATACTATATTGTAAACTATTTAATATTTCACTTGCCTAAAAAGTTAATTTGCATTGAATAATTGCCTACCATTAAAGGAAATTTGAGCTATATAACCCTTGATGGGCATATTCTGGGTATGCAAATACTTCCTTTAAATTTTGGGTGTGGTTCAACCGATTTATTCTCAAAACCAGAAACATCTACATGTAAAAAGAAGCACAGGTCACTAATTATAATAAACTTCACCCTTGGTATTACTTCCACTAATTATAATAAACTTCACCCTTGGAATTACTTCTATCACAGTTACAATACGTTCATCTGCATTGGCATTTTCTACTTTTCGATGGGAAACAATAAACTTCCCAACATTTTTTAAATGATGTAACAATTCCTCTTGTGGTTACTTTTCCATAGATATCCTCATCTCTGTCCTCATGTGAATTCAGAGGCAATAAAAATGAAAATTATTTACCACAAACATCGCAAACTAAAAACCTAATAAACAATTTTATACCGAATATAGAAATAAATTTAGTATTTTTACCTATTATCGTCCAAATCCATGTTAATAGATAATTATTATTTTTAAATATATTTTTCGAACTGCTGGTTTTAGTAATTATTAAATTAAACGAACTAAAAAGTCTTAAAAATAAACAATTCTTAACCATGACCTCAAAAATGCAGATCTCCTGTCAACTTTCTTTATTTTTTATTTATTCATTATTTTCCTAGTGACGTCACAGGTGGTATGCGCGAACTGAACGAAATTGGAGCCGCTATCGATCATACCTTGTATTCTTTGTACCATGACGTCTAAACGCCTTTGATGTACCGACTCGAAGCGGATGGTCGAGCGCACGAACGAACGAACGGCCGCATGCGTTCGGTCCCCGTCTAAATATACCGCACTTTCATTCGTTCGTTCGTTCGCTCGTTCGTTCGGATAATGAATACGCACCTTAAATCTGAAAGCGCACGCAGGCGAACGCCTTTGATGTAACGACTCGAAGCGGATGGTCGAGCGCACGACCGAACGAACGGCCGCATGCGTTCGGTCCCCGTCTAAATATACCGCACTTTCATTCGTTCGTTCGTTCGTTCGTTCGGATAATGAATACGCACCTTAATAATAATATGATCTTTGTCTGATATTTTATCGTTGGAAATCCCATATGGTAATGAAATACAGAAAATATTTGCAAAACGGCTAAAAATGTTTACCTTTTAATTCTACATCTGAAAGAAAAATAATATACAAGGTGTTGCATTTAAAAAAAATGAGATACAATATTTTAAATATTACGATTTTGGTGACGCCATAAAAAATATCCTGTATACGATAAAGTAAATTTTTCTACACGAATTTATTCTGGTATCATTCGTGTTTAAGAAAACATAGCTAAGTATTAATAAAATTATATTCACTCTAGTTTTTTACCACCTTTCGTATATAATGTTTTTAACCAAAGTTATAGTAAATTAGAAATAGAATGGCCACACCGCAGTGTGCTTTAAATAAAGAACTTTAAGAAAATTAAACTTGTTTTAAATCAAAAATAAGTTGTAGAAAATCTCTGAAATAGATAATAATACAAAAATACATATGTCATTATATATTTTTTCCGCATTTCTTCCAATCAGAAGATTTTCAGATACAGAAGAATTTTTACATACGCGAAATGTGAAAATATTCTGTTTTCAAGCATGTTTTTACTCGATGATCAATTTTTTTTATTTATTTTATTGTGAACTCATATTTTCCTAAATACATATCTGTGAAACTATGGCGAGTGCCACGACTATACTTTGCCTAGTTAATAGACCACGACTATACAGCTACGTCAGTGGACACGGGAGGCGAGAACAAGGTCATATAAAGTGGCAGAAAAAGAACAAAGGATTTGACAAGGAGTGAAACTACTAGTTTCCTTATACTATGCTAGTATACACTAAAGACAATTTGACTACAAACACACATCGACTGTTTTTTAACTTTTAGATGTACATTTCCTATCTTTGATATGGATACATATGGTGAAATGTAATGCCTTAAAGCACCTTACTTAATAAAAATAGCCATAAAATATAGGACTATAAGAATATTTCGTAGACCTGTGGCCATAAAATACACTTTACGCGTATTTACACTATTGTAAACACAAGCATGACAGTATATAGACACTTTTAAAACAAGTTGAATCAGTGAAAGTGTCCTAATACCGTATGATAAAAAACGGCGTGCAATTGGCTTGGAAATGATGATCGATGACATTTTCTTTCAGCAATCTTCATTTCATATCCATTGCTGAACTCTTTTTTTGATCATATTGTATAATCCAATTTATGGTATTGCATTACTTTAAGTGTTAATGCCATCTCCAAGTAGATAGTTGCAAGTTAACTAAATGGTTCGTGTAGGTAGAGTAACTTTAGATGTCAGATGTCATACAGGACTTAAATTTAGTTGGAACTGGTTTTTATATGTTTATGTTTATAAATTAACACACAAATTACATTATAAAAAAATACATAATGCACTTCCTAACACACATCGTAGAAATAAAACTTCTTGTAAACACAAAAAGTTTTACTATATGATGCATGTAGACTGACAGCATGATCTCAACTCAAAATACTAACACCACATATTTTCATAATTTGAATGTGATACAACAAATTTAAATTGCATTTCCTAATATACGGGTATAAAAATATATGAATGTTCTTCTTTTTTAGCATCTTGAACAACAAAGCAGAGTGCCAACACAAAAGCCACGGAGTTTTATTAACCAGTAAGTTAAATTGACAAAGTTTCTCCGTCGAACTAATAAAGGTATTTTTCAGAGCTTTAAAAGAATCTGGCTATGAGAGCGACTCGACGCTAGTCTTCAAACGAAAGGAAGATACGGCCAAGCAAGTAAATCCAAGAGAACAAAGAGAAGCGTACAAGATAATTCAGCAAGGCGGCGATGTTCCCTTTCAAGGGTTAAGAAAACCTGCTCCAGAAAGACCTAAAGGTATAGTCATAAACTGATTTTAAATTGCCTAAAAATAAATAAAAGGAATATGGTGGCTAAAGATAATTTGATCTAATATTTGCATGCGATTTTAGCTTTGTACTCGATCCTATGCTAAGGTGGTGGGCTCTAATACGTAATCCAGGTTGGTAGCTCTACTTATTTTCAAAGCCAGTACACTAAGACAATTTATACTATTACATTTCATTACATACGATTATTGCAATATAATAAAATCCACGCTTCAACACGTTTCCAGAACCAAACAGTAATATTTAGTTTCAGAAATCCACAGTGCACGACATTAATGATTAAATACGAGTTATAAAATCTAATTTGTACTATTTAACACTCCTACAGAAACGGACCTAGTGGAATTCTACCCATTGTCGCCAACACTTACAAAGATACGAATACACAAAAGCATTATTCCCCCCAAGGAATGCGTAATACCGCAGAAAGAATACCTGTGCTACCCGGTTACCGTGCATCACAACGTTCCTAAAATATTTGCAAACTTTAAACGTTCAGCTCCATCATTAACCAATACAGCTGACAAAGCCCCTTCTTCATCGACACCTCCACCATCACCGCCTAAACGCAGGTCCTCCAGAAATAATAGCACATTAAGATTAATCAGTACAATGAAAGTAAAATCAGAAAAAAGTCCCATATGCAAGAGACACGAAACTTGTTTCACCTCAGGTCCTAGTGTTAACAAAACGAAAGTCAACTATCTTAAAGACAAGATTACCTGTAAATTATCACCTTCTACCAGGAGGAAAGGCGAACAGCCTAAATTAAGTGTGGTGAAAAAAGTTTCTGCCTCGCCTGAACTGAGATCCAAAATTACCTCCACATTAACAACATCACGTGATCCAAAATCATCTATTCGTAGGGTACAAAGTAGTACCAGAGTAACATCAGAAAAACCACGAGGCTCCGGTGTTACAGGGCTGTACAAAAGCGGATCTACAGGCAGTATGGTTAGTAAGAAAAGTTCTACAGAAAGTTTAACTTCTCGTACTCCAACACCCGTTAAGACGTTTGGTAGTGAGAAACGAAAATTTGATCTTATTCTGCCAAAATTATCATCCTCTAGATCTCGCTTATCGTGTAATGAATCTCAAGAACTTGTATCGCCAACTGAAGTCAAGAAAGGGATAAAGAATATCGCTAACCCGAATGCTCATTATAAGAATTCCGTGGCCCCTTTGTCTTCTTCAAAAAGCAAGAGCAGCATTAATGCTACAGTGCCAATTAGAGTTGGATTTACAGAAAAAGGAAAGAACATTTTGAAATCTTCCTTTAAAAGACCTCTATCTTTATCTCCCAAAATAATACGTAAAACCTCTAGCAGCCCGTCTCCATCTATAAGTTCTGAACGATCCAGAATAAAATCATCAACGGAATCGTTAATATCTAATAAATCTACCAAAAAACTGGAGAAGACGTCTTTAGTCTCGAAAAGCAGATCAAAAACTGACGACAAAAAAACTCAAAAACTCAAGAAGGAACAAAAAGTTGGCAATAAAAAAGAACTATCTAACAGTTTAACAGATATTAAATGCCTCAGCAAGGCTACTGGAGCGGATATTGCTAAACAATTAGACCAGTGCGACTCGTCCGAAATTCGGAAACAAAAAGAAGCCATAGAGTCGAATCACTTTTTCAGAAACTTGTTTATGAGAGGTCTAAAACATTCGGCATCTTTTACTTTACCCAGAAATTCTTGGATAGTTGAAAAAACGAACCAGTTACATAGAAGAAAGTCGTTATCTTCTGAACCAAGTATAGGCGCGATGAAGATATACCTCAGGCACACCAGACCAGTAAGCGATTCAAAATTTGTTAGTCTGGATATAATAAGATCGAGAAGTGCCAGTCCAAAATGCGTAACGTTTCACGATACTTCTAAACCGGGAAGTTCAAAAAGAAGTAAAAGTTTGCCAACTAAAATAGTATTTTCTCAAACATCTAGACCAGTATCTCCAGTTGTTGCAAGAAAAAAATTGTTTCCCATTCTTAAAGCGTCATCTAAAGAAGTTTTAAATAGAACTCCCAGTCCACCTGCTAGATTAGTATTCACCGAGACATCTAGACCAGTGTCTCCAGTAATTTCTAGAAGAAAAAGATCTCCGATTAGTAAATCAGTTTCGGGAGACAGTCTGGTTTATACAGGTAGAAGTCCAAGCCCTCGGGAAAAGTTGATTTTTACCGAAACATCCCGACCTGTATCGCCTTTAGTAACTAGAAGAGAAAAATCTCCTATCTCGAGAAATATCTCCAAAGACAATTTGTCAGTTGTCAGACTCAGTCCTAGTCCTCACACTAAGTTGTTCTTTTCTGAAACTAGTAGACCTGTGTCTCCAGAAGTTCGTCGAAAGGTAACAAGCCCTACCGTATCGCCTATTTTACCTAGAGCTCCGTCCTGTAGAAAAATTATGCAACTCAAGCAATTTCATGGACCTGACCCCGCTAAACCCCAAGAATTAACCTTATATAGCTGTCCAGAACTAAAGCACAGTACTACTTCACTAGATTCGTTCAGAAGTGAAGATTACCAAGTGTACCTAAAAGATCTTGGTTTCGGTCCCCCTAAAAACGAAAAATTTAAAGATTTAAATCATTTTTATAGCGATATTGAGAAACTGGGAAAATTAGAACAAAAGTTTGCATTAAAACCAAGAACCAAATCCGAACAGGAAATAATTGATTATGACAGGTGGATGGAGGTCAGATGTAGGGAAAGAGCCGAACACGAACTGAAATGTTTGTACAACCACCTAAAATCCCACGAAAAAGAAAAGGGTTTTCTGTTTCTTCCTAAAGACGTCGAAAAATTCCGTTGGAGAAAAGACCTGGATCGAGGCTTAAGAATAAAAGAAAAATCAGTTGAAAATATTAAAGAGGAATTTCAAAGAATCCAAGAAGAAGAAAGTGACTTAGAAAACGCACGAAGGCGACATATGGCATACAGCAAAGACACGTATAAACCTCTATGGAGGGGAAATTCGGTGGTGAGTTTGGCAAATATTCTGAGTGAAAGGCGCAGTCAGTCCGAAAGCCGAGTAAAAACTACCCGTCAAAAGCTTTTGGATGAAGACAAAATTTTTAATCACGGAATAGGTTCCAGAATATGGAGCAGCTTATCTATAGAACAAGTGAATAATCTTAAACGCCAGTTACAAGATATTTACGGAGATGACGACGTACCTACTACAGTAAAAAAATCACCCAGTAAGTTGAAAGACTATACAGTTGATGTTCCAAGAGAAACAGAAAGAAAATATATTCCAACTTTGACAGTTCGTAGGAACTCTGAGAGCTCGAAACCTGATTTGATGAATGAAGATGAGAAAAAGATGCTGTCACAAATTTTGAGTAAGGAGGCTCTTGAAAAGACTATTAAGAAACGCAAAGAGGATAAATTAGCGTTGCCTATAATGGTGGGAAAGGAAGTTTTGGGAGCTGTAGCTACTCAAGATGCTAATATTAAAAAATCAATTAAAGAGGAACAGCCTCCGAAGGCATTGATTAAAACTAACGCTCTAGGAACGGGTAAACCAAATTCTATAAGTGAAACTGAGTCAGCTAGCACTGATGAATCTACAAGAACAGTAATAAATTTAATGGACGTTCAAAAAAAAGTTGAGTATTTTGAAAAAGCAAAGGAATTAGAGGCTTACGTACCGACAATATATACAGCAGCCGATGACGGAACTAACAGCGAAGAATCTGTCAGTCCTAATCAAATCCCAGAAAGCAACGTTCCAGACCAAACAAGAGGTCCTATCCAATCAAAATCCTGCCAAAATTTTAAAGAGTTCTTTGGGGAATCTGAATTAGTAAAATTTGCAACGCTTCCTTTATCAGCTACGAAACGTTCGAACTGTTCGTACACTAAAAAACCTCACCTTAGAGCGCTTGACATAAGTCCCATTCGTACGATTTCGGAGGCTAACTCGTTTGATAGTCTCAATAGAAGTCGATCGGCCTCTCCGTATTTTGAGGAAGCTCAAGCGCTGGCTAAAAGAGGCGAAGTGAGTAAACTGAAAAGGCAATTCGAGTTTTTCGAAGACTTCTTCGGCGAGAAGAAGCTAAAGAGATCTCGTAGCGAGAACGACATGCGGATGTACGGACACGTTGATGATTTGAGAAGAAAATACGAGTATCCCGTTCATTCCGGAAGGGGAAGGTCGAGAACCAAACGGGGCGGTGTTGTCTCACCTGTATGGTTAAGGGCAGAGGACAGATATATGCCCCATATCAACATTATCAGTAAAATTGCGAGTTTGTATTCGTTTTCGAAGCATAAGAGTAGGAAAGAGGCGAGCAGGAGTACGGAGGAATTGGCGGAGATTTTGGGATGTCCTACAGGAGAGGTCAGTAGGTTTAATTTGTGCACTGTAAAATTAATTTCCCACACAAATAGTTTAAAGTTTTCTTTTTTTTAGTCACAAAATCTCTATTAAATTGGACTTTTTCTCTAATACTTTCATATTTAATTATATCAAATTATGCCGTGTAAATCAATGTAAAATCAAATTAAACTGTAAACTCAAGGTATTCATGACAAGAAAAGAAACATTTTAATACAATCACAGAACGACGAGATCACTTGGTTAAAAAATAGTTTCAACATTGTTTGACTAAAAGCACGAAATTATCCTAAAGGTTCTTTGCAACCGTTCGATATTAAAATTAATATGGTTGGGAATAATAGGATGATTTCAGTCCTTGAGTATTGATCCTCGAGGATTCCAATAATCGGATGATCGTCCGAGGAATACGGTTATAATTTTTTTATTGTTTACATTATTATAAAATTTCAAACACTCCAAGGCCTGTGTAATATCTCGATCTGAACCTGAATAATTACATTGCAATAAAAGTAAATAATAATTTTAAACATTATTTTTATATTTTCGTGTGTATGATTTGGATGCGAGAAGTAAAATGTTTATATATTTTGTTTCTTTAACTCAAAGTTTAACTCT